GTGAAAAATGGAGGGACATGGGCGAAGGAAGGGAAAAGGAGGGAAGATTCGCTGCGTAAGTACCGGCCGATTATGTAAGTATACCAAAAATATCGTCGAATGAGTGACAAGCACTTGGCTTGTTCGGCGATATCGTCAGGCAATTTGTGGCCGCGCTAGCGATTATTTGCAAAGCTGCGAAACAACGAAATTGACTCGCTGGCCAGAAATACATCCCGAAGAATCTATCACAAACAACGTGAGATTAAACCGATTAAAATCGAGACAACCTGAGACATTTAAAAGCTAACGGAGCACAGACACATCGTTTGGCTGTAGCTTCGCATAAAATTCGGGGAGAGAGAGAGAGAGAGAGAGAGAGAGAGAGAGAAGGAGAAAGATGGAGAAAAAACTCGTTCTGCTCGTGGAGAATTTCAGGGTCCAAACAATCGTATCGACTTCTTCAGCAGCGGTAGCAGCAGCCATGGTGGAGAGGCATGGCTCGGTAACAACAATAGCTGGTCGTGGATAGGGTGGCTCTCGCGTGCATATTTGTCAGTTCGTCAAAGGAGCCGTAAAGCGTTTAAAACGGAAACGCGGCTAGCTGGAAGGTTGAAAAACGAAGCTGCCGTGAAACTCGATATTCCACAACAAAGAAGGCCACTGGGAATAGGACAGTGGCTCTGAATTTCTGACCGGAACTACAACGACAGCGAGAAACGTCGTGTCTTACCCCCGAAGAGCGAAAGCCTTCAGGCGATGATACAGATTTTCATCGGAGGAAGTCATTGCACTTTATGCTGAATGGGCACCGAGTCAACAACCCGATGCCTGTCTACGTGTTTGCCTGTCTGTAAACGTGTGCACACCTTTAAAGGGTTTCTCCCGCTCTATCTCTCTCTTTCTCTCTCTCTCTTCTCGTGCTCCTCTTCCTGCTTTTCGCGTGATCACAAGAAGAGAACTGTACGTGTGGCTAAAGAAGAGCTAAAACGAAGGAAAAAGAGCCAGCGAATCTAGGAGAACGAGAAGGCGGGGAGGAGGGGGGGGGAGCTGTCTGAATAAGATGAAGAGGGAAAAACGAGAAAGCCGTGGAGTGGAGCACAAGAAAAGAGAGACGCGAAGACCGTGCAGAGTGCAGAAACAGAGAGCGACAGAGAGAGAGAAGCAAGGGAGCAAAATGTAGAGAGAGAAGGGGAGGAAGGAGACGAGGTCTGGGAATCGCTTCATGCACTGACGAGCACGAGCCTTCGCGTAATAACGCGATCAGAGGGCAGCCGTGTCTCATGCGTGCACGCACTTCTCTCGTACCATCGCACACGCTCTCTCGTGCTCCGAAGGCAAGCACGCGTGCATAAACGCTACGAGCGTAATACGCTCACGAGCAGCACGAGCGTTCTATTTTTATGTGTGTTACGTCGTGAAGAACCACAGGCTAAGGCGCGGTTGGAAATTATTCGCGAAACGTGGCAAAGGAAGGGTCAACGAAACGTATGGACAATGGTGAAGTGGCGGGGCGGCGAATATTCGGCGTGTCGCCGAACTACTCGGCAGTAGAGTGGTGGCCGGGACCGGGGCAGGGGCAGGGGCAGGGGCAGGGGTCGAAGGGGGTTGAACTCGCGACGTCCGATGAAAATCGTTGAAATGCGACCACCATACGCCAGACGGATGGCGCGCACCGTGTTAATTAATACGACAACCATCGGCGGCGGAATCCGGCTTGACGTATAATGCGGCACTAATTGCGGAAGGGAAACCGGAAAAGAGGAGCGGAGAGGGGAAGGAGAGGGAAAAAAAAGAAAGAAGGAAAGAAAAAAATTATAACGAATTCGTTGGCGAAATAC